AGACCATTTTCCGTTCACTGCGAGAATCCCGTGTTATGCGAACGTAAAAACAGGACAAACAAAGGTCATAGCTTCGTAGTGGCGTCAAACATCGCGTAGGATTCGACAAACGCGAAAGTATTTTCGGGGACATTTTCATGCTTAATAATGTGCTGTCCACATTTGATGATAGGCAATTCGATTAAGTAAGGGTATTCGGAAGCAATATTCCTCTGTCGAAGATCGGCCGGTCGATGTGAGCTACGAAATAAAGAAATTCTAGTTCAAAATCAAATCGTTCGATTTTTGCGGCAGACGTTCAACGCGCGTCTTTCAGGCATCTCGCGAGATCTCGCAGTTGTACGGAAAATCCTCTATTGTTAAAAGGATATAATGTATACATGCTATGTGAAACCATGGTCGAACTGCATAATGAATGAGTGAAAGTATAATGCTGAAATGTACACTTAAGAAATTAAACATGAACATTAAATGACAACCATATGAAGAATACACAACAGAATAAACATTAATTGTACTATAGACTTGTATGTTTTCTACAGCGTATGATTGCACAAAGTCCTGGGATAGACACAGCATGAATTGAGGAACATAGCCACTGAATGAGCATTATTCTGAAATGCACAAACTTGGAAAGGGCATCAATTTAGCATTTTTGGCATGATGAGGATATCTACAATGCTTGCAATCCAGTGGCAATTATGCAATAGTTTGTAGTAGTGTTTACATAATGTCCACTAGTCAAGGTTCTACCAATGGTAGTGATTCACCTGATATCCAATTGAAAATGTTCTACCAATGGTGGTGATTCACCTGATATCCACTAGGCAAGGTTCTACTAATGGTGGTGATTCATCTGATGTCCACTAGTCAAAGTTCTACCAATGGTGGTGATTCATCTGATATCCACTAGTCAAGGTTCTACCAATGGTAGTGATTCAACTGATATCCACTAGTCAAGGTTCTACTATTGGTGGTGATTCAACTGATATCCAAAAGGAATTGTTCTTCCAATGGTGGTGATTCACCTGATGTCCACTAGTCAAGGTTCTACCAATGGTAGTGATTCACACAAAAATATCCAATTGAAAACATTCTACC